TAGTCTGCGCAACAAAAGACTCTTTTATTGATCGGATTTTGACGTCGACAAGAAGTGAATTCTGTACTGGAACGGCGACTTTCAGCTCAATGGCTGAATTGCTATCAAGCCCAACAGCTCTTCCCGAAAGGGAGATTGCACAAAAAAGGTTATGGTTGCTACCTGGTTGTCTGCAGCCAGTATGATTCATCACAGCTACTTGAATCCGGACGAAGCGATTACGGCAGAGAAGAGTTGCCCACAAATCGATGAGATGCACCGAGAACTCCAACAACAGCGACTGGCCAGTAGTTGACAGAATAGAAACAATCCTTGTCCACGAAAATGCCCAGTCTTACGTTGAACTGAAAAAGTTGAACGAGTTGGGCTACGAGACTTTGCCTCAACCGACATAATCATTAGAACACTCGCCTACCGGCTATCACTTCTTTATGCACCTTGATAAGTCCCTGCACGAGAAACGCTTCACCAACCACGATGACACAAAAAAGTCCCTTCAACGAATTCATCGTTTGCAGAAGTTTCGAATTTTATACAATTCATCTGTATCACCTGTAGTCCCGTCGATCGCCGAGTGACTCGATCGGGACCAGTAAAAATTCAATTTTTCCCTGTTGCGTGCAAGAGTAGTCCAGTGGGTTCTAATAACTCTAGAGACTCGTCAAGCATCGTATCTTTCTTCTAGGCTTTTCGTGAACAACTCAGACCATCGAGTCGGTGGTCTTCCGGCAGTGCGTTTCGCATTTCGACAAATCGAGTAACTAACGGCTCTTGTCCATCGATTGTCATTCATACGCATTACGTGTCCGGCCCACTTCATCTTCAACTGTTTGGCGTGCAGAACGGCATCTTTGGATTTTGATCGTTGACGCAGGTCGGGGCTTCGGATCCCTTTCCTCACTTGTGTGGAACGGGATACTCCTAGCATCGTTCTTTCGAATGCGCGTTCGATAACGCTTATCTTTCATCCTGCTTACGCAGCGACCACGTTTCTGACGCATACGTTAGGGCAGGAAGTACTGTTGAGTCGCACAGGTGGGCACAAAGTCGGGTTCTCTTTGTTCTCTTCGCTATATCCTTTATTACATTGATTTCTTGACCTAGATAGACATAACTGAAGCATTCGGAGACGTAACGTATTACCTCGTTTCGGTTTGCGACTATAGTCAATTTGAAGTGAACCAAGTGTTCTTGCATAGATGTACAGAGTCAATATATGTCTAAGAATTGTTTATGACTGGTAGTTGGAAAATGATTGTAGGCCAACAAGTTTGGATAAAAGAAGGTTGAACAACGATGACAGAGAAGATTGAGAAATGAAGGGCTCCTTGTTTTTCGCCTCTATAAGGAAATTGTTAAACCATTGCTATGGAGAGGAAACTTGGGCACTAGTTCTATTTTTGAACCCGATCCAGCACGTTGTAAAGTTTGGGAGTTGCGAAGATTATAGAGCATATAAAGAGTGCTCGCTGTAAAGATTAGAAACTGTAAAGTGATTTTAAAATTGCAAAGCCTAAAACTTCTGGGAAAATTTAGCACATTTCGTGGAAACAAGTGGATGCATGCATATTGTGCTTGAGTTAATCTTGTTCTGCATAAGAGGGAGAAGTCCACGGAAGGCTCGTCATTAATTAACTTCTATACCCCTTTATAACCTAAAGCCCTTCATAGGTTTTGAACTTCATTATACAAGCACGGTAGAGAAATCAGTGCCCACTATTCACTGTTGGACTATTAACAGGCTAAAAAAGCTGCCCGAAAAACAGTTTAGGGTATATTCAAAATCGCAGAAGCTTTGTAACTGGAGATCAATCACAAAATATTTGTTAAATAAGCAGTCGAGTGAATCAAAAGTGTGGGAAAAATGACTCAGCGCAGCAAGAGAAACAACTGAAAGTGGACCGAAGCATATACCATTCATTAGGGTCAATCTACACCGACACACATGAGGTGATTCTTGTTGTGGGCAGCGTGTTTAACACTCGACAAGTGAATTTTATTTTCAGAAGTGCTAAGATATTGAAAAGCGCTTAATGAAACTGCTTGGCACCATCGGTGAAATTTCACTTCGCGCACCTGCGAAATTTTGCTTAACAAATTTTAACGACGGAAGGCCTTCAGTTGTCCAGCTAAGGACGCAGTGGGAATTCTTTCATTTTCCTTTCGCTGCAACTGTCCATTTACGATGTATGACTTTTTATTTATTGCTTATTATTTTTTTTACTACAGGGCAGTATGTGAAATAGAATTACAATAATGTTGAGATATTTACAAAACTCAGACCTCAGGCCAGATTCGAACCAACGACTACCCTTTGCAGAGCTCACGTGTTACCCACATCATTGTGGTTGTTCACTTATAGTCGTACACTGTTTAAGCGATGTTGTAATAAATATGTATTCTTTCTTGATAAGCTTGCACGAGGTTGATAAATATATTTATTTTCGGCTAACGTTTCGACGTCTTCGTCTTCCTCAGAGCCGGTGATCCGAGTCGATGGTCCATGCTTGTTGTTCGCCTCGACGTTGCGTCTTCGCCTTCCTGTCGAGCCAGATCTTCCTCAGCGAGCCATCTTCTCGAATGAGGCATCCTCACTCAGTGATACCCTTTTATACATGATGCTGATGGTGGATATATAATGACAATGTCCGGTGGTAACAACTTGTATAAAAAGATGTTGTAATAAGTTTCAGTTTTTCATCCTGACAGGCACTCTTCTACCTAGTGCATCAGCTGAAAGTGCTGGAATGACAGCTGATATTAGATCCAGGAAATGTCCACATGCTAACCGTCCGACACATCATAGCCGCTATGCATCACATTATTCACAGCCGCAGTAAGGCAAGCTCAATTTTAAGCCCCGTCGTTAAGAAGAAAATTTCTCATAGCAGCTGTATCCTTTCGCTATGGGGCTGTACTTCTAGCTTTTGCATGTTGTGATTCATTCTTACTTTTTTACATACTAAGCACTAAACCTCTCTTTTTTAATCATTTCATTCATCTATTTCAACCACACTAGTGAAAGAAAGCATAGTTTCATTGGCTGATATAAACAACCACGGACCCATGTGTTACATATTGAATTTCTCATTACACAAAGCTCGCCGTCTTACAATGATGCTGTCCCACTTCAACCTTTTCTTCCTTATTTTTGGATTTCAATGCTTGGCTTTCATAAAATTCTATGCTGCCTTTAATCGGTGACTTTCCTTTTTGCTGATGAAAATATTGAGCACAGTGTTATTAAATTAATATTATCGTAAAGGTAATAACGTTTAACGAGCCATGAATTTTACAAGTACATTTTATACCAAGTTTTTGTAACTCACACTGTTGTCGTATTTCATCCTGAACCTTATTTGTTCCGTAGACATTTATCTCCTAAATACTTTTTTAATACTTATTTAATAGTTATTTTAGAGTAGTTAAAATAATGTCTTTAAGATAAGGAATATTTATCGTTTTGCATCATTCTTCTGATGTCCTATTACGCACCGTTGCGGGAGTAACTCAGTGGGTAGGAAATCGCGATAGGCAAAAGGATGGTTCGAAAAGTTTTGTACAGAAGACGTGAGACCCCATAATGAGGAACGTCGTCTGCGAGCCTTAGCAGTAGAAGAAGACTGTCCTGAAACTGGTAATCGAAGCAGCGTCTCAAAAACTCGAGATATTCTGGCAGAACTCAACTTTAAACGTTCGAAAACAACTGTAAAGATTTTAAAAATGCAAAAGCTTGACAAATGGATGGTGTACGATTTGGATGATTGCCAAGAGGACACCATTACAAAGTTGTAAAGGCATCTTTGACTATCTTCTCCTTAATAGCTTCTCGGCGACATTGCGATGCACAAGGAGATGTTGATCCTGTACGAACACGTGTGACATTCGTGGAGTGATTAGGTGAACATGACAGCCCTAAGAAATTCCCAAAGCTATAAATTCTCTTTAAGAATGTTACCTACCTGTTTGGCATTTGCAGCTAGATTAATCTATTGTATTTCTGCATTATCTAAAAAAACGACGACAGCATGGTTATCATAGAATTTGTGAAGTACGTCAAAATTGAAAGGCGCATGTGTACATACTCAATATGGTCATTTGAAAAGATCTAATCTGCCTGCTCGACTTTGCAGGACTACTACACAACGATTGACAGACTCAGGAACAATTTTATCGTTTTTTGATACCACTCTTTCAAGCACCTGTCAGTAAGCCTAAGTCAAAGAAAACCCTCAGCAATTAGGCTTCTGTTGAAATTCCAGTTTAGCATTCGTCGCCTCCAAAACGTTCTAATTTTGTCCTACCGACTAGCACAAACAAGCTTGTATATGATTATGTTTCTAGTGAGTCTTATTTTTGTAGCTTTCAGTCAGACGATATCGTTTTAAAGTCACAGATCAAATCAGTCGTTATTTCTTTTTGCGGTACAGTATCCTTCCTTGTGAAGCTTATTGTCACTTTATCCTGCGGTATACGGAGAGAGATCTCATACAACTTTTTCCAGCGAGAATGGTTTTCTGCACAAGAGTATTATACCTTTCTAGAATCTATTTATTTCTTGGAATTTTCTATGCAAAGTTACCTTGCTTATTAACAATTTTCGCCGAGGATCCATCTGTACATGGTGAGTTTTTTTTTGGTTCTACGATGGTTATCTCTTTATTAACAGCGAAACAATATGCACGTTTAGAAGCTCCGTGTAGAGCTTCTAGCCTGCGAACCAGCAATTGAACTGAGCAGCTGAAATACGCTATTTTTGCTCACAATCTATGCAACATTATAATCAGCACCAAATCTGGCCTTAGTGAATCTAACAATTAGAAGTCCGATGATTGCGTTTACTTTCAGCAATCTTGCATAGCCACTGCATAGTACTACGTTTCATTTACGATCACCAATTTGCGCACAAAATTTGTCTAGAGTAGGACGGTTGACTTTACATGATACTGGAAATTTCCAATAAACTTTTCCTCAAATATCTCATTAGAAGCTAAGTGGACATGCGCAGGCCGATTACAGAGCTGGATATGTTTGAGTGGTCTTCTGGAATAAGAGTTGCATACTGTGTTGATGCGCCATTGCCCGATATTCTTTCACCTTTTCGAAGAACATTTTCTAAAGTTGTCACGAAATACTGTCATAATACTACTGCGTGCAACATCAAGAAGCAGTGAGTTGTCTTTCCTAACATTCTATTTGGCAATAACGTATTTACTAAATGGTTTTCTATGATATTTTGGGTCAGTTTCGCTCACATTTAGGTTAGTATTCGGGCCAGAACACATTATGTTCGTAGAAGGTTTTCCAAGGAGAGAATATGGAACAATTCATATCAAATTTTACGTCGTCTTTCCACATAACACCGAAGCTGTGACAAAGCAACCTAGGCCACTTTTGCCACGAGCTGTTTTATCCGGTAAGGAGTACAGAGTTGACGTTTCTGCATGTGATTACTTCCTTTATTCGCTGTTAAGGTACGGATTCTATTAAGGGTTATTCAAGGCCAGCGGATAGGCATTCTCCGTTTTCCAAATTATGGTGTAATATGTTGTATAAAAAATTGAATAACGGTATAAAAACTGAAAAAGCTAACTCAAATAGAATATTCGCTTGTGGGCAAATCAAAGGCTCCTTCTAAGTTAATGGAGTAAAGCTCTTTGTTTATGCTCTAAAAGAGTCTCTATGTCGGATCTTTATCCTTATGTCGAACTCCAACCAACTAGACCTGAGGATTATTTGCTGCAGGCGACCTCAAACCGCCTTAAACGTCGTAGTTTCTTGATTGCAAACTCTTAGCTGAATCAACGTACAGTTTACGATAGAAGTTGGAATACCAGACGGTAGGCATATTTATGACTGCGTGTTCATAAGGTGTAAGTCAATCTAGTAGTACAACACAAGCAAATCCTGTCTATGAGAAAAAAGGAACCCATATACTGAATACAGCGCTCTACTAAGGTTCATTGCACCTTTGCTAAAGCTTAATATACAGCAACATTATTTTGGCCGAAAATATTCTCAAGAGAAAAGAAGCTCTTTGTTGCGATTCACTAGACCAGATTTGAACTGCATTGGAAGTGACATGGAATTCCATTCACAAATGACTAGGTAGGCGTACAGGATGCAGATGAACAAATTTTGCTTAGAATATATAAGCACTGACAACAAGAAAATCTGACGAGCATCATCCTCAGTTGGCGAAAACTATTTGGAAGTGATAATCAGTGTTGACTCCTGTAAAGACTAGTCAAGAATAGGCAGTAGTTATATGAAAAAACATGGGTAAAAGTGGCTATGATTATCTGTCCCCTTGCGTAGAACAAAAATACTAGCGCGTAGATCAAGAGCAACACTAACGATTTCCTGTTACCACTTTCAAACATGGCCAGTGATATTGTTCAAAAACATTGACGTTAATCTCAGTGATTACACTAAAACCTTTGCAGACGTCAGCCTCTGTAAATTAAGTTTTTCGCCTTCGATTTTTTTCCTTAGCAACAGAGCTGAGATTCCAGGAACTGTTCATCACTTCAATGCTGATGTAATGATGAGTATTTCAGACATTATTTCTAAGCATCTCCCGGAGATTTCTAATCGACTCGGCTGGTCGATAATTAGTTATGAGAAGTATCCCAGATTCGACTCCATGACGGAATTTATGAACATTGCAATTATTCCAATTGTAATTTTCTCCGTTCCCCTAATGATTTTCTTGGCATACTGGACCTCTTCGTTTCGGTATGCATTGAAGTGTCATTCAAGACTGCTTCAGCAAAAGTGTTCCACTGAATCGCAAATAAGACATGAGTAGTCTTTTACGTTTTTTACGAAGTGACTTAAATAGCTCAAATGCACGTTCTACTCTGAACAGATCATGAAATTTATAGTTTTTCAACACGAACTTATTCACGAAACGAAGACGGGGTTTGACAAATGAAAGAATCTAAAGTCCGTATGAAATATTTTGGTGGCCCACTTACTCTGAAGCATCTTTATAAATTGCTCAACTACTTTAAACAAAATACATTAATAATTCAGGCCAAATTTGAGTTCTGAGGCATGGCTAGTAACGGGAGCTACAGGGGGCAAGAACGCAGCACTTAGGTAAGAGACTACTAAAATAATCATAACAAACGCTTTCGATCAATTTCTGTGGTATTTAAAAAGTTTTACATAGAACACATCTTTTTCGTATTCTCTTTCTTTCTCTGAATAGTAAATTTGATTAAAAATTTAAAGTTTTGCAGAAGAACCATGGAAATTATCGCAGAACAAAATGCAGAGATTGACAGACAAAATCGTCTAGAACTTACAAAGCACATGATTATCACTGGAGGACATGAGGGAATAACTACAACTGGTCAACTTCTTCTTAACGTTGCCAGGTTGCAAACTTTTATATTTGCAGATATATATATATATATATACATATACATACTTTTTGAGAAAAGGTCATCTACGAGAATAATATATCAGGTTGTCGATGGGCCCAACTCAATCTCCGACTTCTCATGCATCGACGTCATGTTCGTCTCCTTCACAAGCCACCTCACCACAAATTGTGGTGAGTGCATCCAATGACGATGCCCGTGATAACAAGAGGTCTCCAGAATTTTCGCCTCGAGGAAGTGTGTTAGCACTTCACTCCACTGCGCCTCTACATCTTAATGTCGCTAGAGGACTAGGGTGGGCAAATCATTTTGTTTTCGTGCTTTCAACGAATCGTTAGTTATTGTGCCTTTCCTATTATGCAACAAATCAACTAAAATATAATACAACCCAGATAGAAGTGAGATTAGACACAACTTCAGCTTTCATTCTTTTTCATGTGTTTTTTGTGAGCAACGATTGAGTGGGCTCTGTCTTTACCGTTATCACTCGGAGCTGTTGGCGGCGAACTCCTGAACAGCGCTCTTTCATTACCAACTGATCCATGGAGATCATCTTCTCATTTAGATCAGCAAAGTATCTTCTTATGCAGAACGAATATAAACAGGATAGCGTTTGAAAACATGTCACTAGCTGTATGCTAATTTCTTTTGTATGTAATTTCTATCCTTTTTAACTAACTGTATGCTATGCGCTACTCGTTTGACCGCTCGTAATTGCCGTGATTTGACAATGCTAACGGATTGGACCATGTTTTAATGTTCTTATGAATTGAATTCTCGCACTATATATTGTTATATAATCAAGCCAACTCAAATTTGTCACAAAACTTTTACTCGGCTAGGGTTTTGGTGCCGTGGCGTTCCTCATTTGGAATAATTCGAGCCGATCGTCTAGAGTTTCTAGCTCTTGCGATTTGAGTCTTCGTCGTTATCGAGTCGAACCCAGTAGAGTAGGCCACGGTTCGTATGAATATTTAATGAATATGATTACGTAGTGCTATTTTATTCCAATTTATATTTTTACGACAACTCCGTTTTATTAATCGTAAAATAAAATATTGATTGTCCATCCAGAAGCTAAGAAAGTCGTCATTTAAAATAGTGTTACGTTTTCTGCGTGCTAGCAATGATACAACTGTTGTAAGATGCATTGCCGTCGAAAAAAGCAGATTGAATAGGAAGGCAATAGATCAGCAAGCACTGCGCTGCAGTCTGGGTGTACTTCATTCGAGCAGTGACTTACCGCACTGGATTCTAGTCAATGCCAAGACAAAGACCCATATCGTGAGTTCGGGCGAATGTAGACCATCGGCTAGGATCAAGCCGGCTGTTGAGAAGACGATGACGTCGTTACCATAACCGAATAAAACTTGTTACCAACCCCATCTTAGCTTTGTGTCACTTAGCTCATGGGGTAGTTGCTTCCCCGCTTTCTGTCGGTAACGCAAGAGTTTCTGTAGAGCTGCAATTCGCAATCTGAAAATTTGGTGACCGATCATTTCTAAACAGTAATAACACAGCAGTGACAAAAGCAATAAAATGGCAAGTGCATACACAGTATGTAGAGGCCCATTATCAGTAAGCAAATGCAACATAAGTAAGGAAGGTGCACTTTTAACAACGGAGAGGCTTGTTCAACTGAGTGAAGAGGGATTTTGATGGAAGAGGAAGCCATTATAAAAATACCGCATATGTTAGTGAAAAGTCAATAGATAAAGCCTATTGATGAAATGAGGCAGAAAAAATTGGAGCCAACTGAAACAGTGCGGAAACAGAGTCAAGAGTTGTAATTTGAAACAAAATCATTCTATAAGGTATTCACGGTGTAGCGCGTGTGGCGCAGTGCTCGGCTGCGCCCTGCAAAACACACGTGGAATCGATCCCCACGCCCATGGCCCACCAAGCCTTCCATCTCTACAGGGTCGGCAAATTGGTACCGAAGTGGTCTAGGAGGATAGCAGCACTGGTTCGATACATCGGTAGACGACCGCGAGTCACTGTAAAGACCAGATATGCATTCAGTCACCTCCAAACGATACTTAGTGAAGTTGAATGCATGGCGCATCCCTCAAGGTTTGATCAATACCGTGAGCTCTTTGATTTTATTCACGGTGTAGTGTGAGAAGAGACATTTTACCTTACTGATGATTATGTAAAACAAAAATTTCACGGTTTGAGTAGAATAGAGTAGAGAAGCATTAGAAGAGATGTTGGGAACGATGTGTAGATTATGTTGTGTAACCTTGGAGTTTACGGTAACGGTCACCAAGGCCACTGTGGCGTATCGTCTTGGCATGTCTGGTAGATAATAGCTAGGTGTGGATCTAGAGTAACGATAGCAAAAAAGTAGTATGAGGGGGACATCGTGTAGTTAATAAGGTAGTTAATAAGGAAGTTATATAATAATATAGGACAAAAAAGCGAGAAGAACGAAATCCACCTAAACGTCGGCCTATATATAAATAGAAAATTAAAATAACACCTCATGCTTGCTAAACAAGAATAGAAAGAATTGTTAGATCAATGTCGAGGTTAATAGCAAGTCGGTCGTGAGAAAAATGAGAATTCTCTATAAGGAAAATAACTGTCTATGTAAGGCCTAATCATGTAAGAAAATATTGACTACTCACGGCTTATAGATTATTCACAAACTGTGACTATTTTTCAGTTTATTTCCATATTTTGACGCAACTATATTTATTTGGAAAAGTTTTTCCAGCTGTTTTTTCAGCTTTCGGAAACACAGCCGGCGCCAATCGTCAGTTGAGGAGTTCAAGCAGTTGAGGCGAGCCAGAGGTTCTCGATCACACTCACAGACGAAGCCGTGGAAAGCTGGAAGTCTAATGCTTGGAGGTTTTGCACGTAGAAACTAATAATCGTGCAGGACTCTCTCTCTCTCTCTCTCTCTCTCTCTCTCCCTGTTGAATCATTATGGAAGCCTTAATATTTGCGAAAGATTGTTCATAGGAAGGAATTTCAATGATCGTTAAATATTTATTGTTGGAACTGATACTCCTTGAATTACATTTAATCTCTGCATAATTTCGTTTTTCTTTCACTGGCAGCCAAATGGTACGCTATTATTAATTTCTTCGCGAACGCTTGTAAACACAACCGGTGACAACGCTCTTCTTGACGAGACGACTGCAAGACGATGCGACAATATTGTCACTTATTCGTTACCCCATCTGTTGTCATCTTCCAAAAACCCTGCCACACGTTTTAAACTTCATCCGCCTGTTGTTTGTTAACAGATTTTTAGTTTAAAGCCGTGTCAACTGTAAAGCACGTTAGTTCTACTTAGCTCTGTGTTATATTTTCCGTGCGCCTATAATGAATCAGTTACGTAACAGTAATAAACATCAGTACATATCTTATTAAATCATATGTTTATTTCCTAACATTTTTATTGGTGCATAGAAAGCATTCTATAAAACCATGGCTCTAGGAACATGTCGTTGTGCATTTTCTACTAACTTCTCCAAAAAATTGAATTTTGGTAGGATTTAATAAAGTGCATAAGGATTGCGAGTCCAGCCGAACATAGCACGAATATGTGTGGCGGTTTCTTTTATTTCCTTGGATACCAGAATGAGGATTTGCTTTGCATATTTTACAACAAAATAATGGAAAACTGGAAGTTAGGCACGAACCCAGTGTTTTGTGGGCTCAGTGGCGACTTCTACTCTTGTGATAATTCGTCAGAGCGTTGTGACAAGTTATTCCTTATTTAAGTGTTCAAAACTGAGCGACAACAAAGCAGAACGACTAATAATGAATACTCATCCGAAATTCACCTCTTGCCGGAAATGTCTCTGTAGAAATGAAGCACTGAAAACCCAAATTCATGAACTCTGACGAGAATAAGTAATCGAAATAGCGAAGAGTGAGAGGAAAGAATCGGAAAAGCAACTGTTCGTAATCGAATAGTACTAGCACGTGCGTGGAGCAGATCCGTTGGATAAGCGATCGCTTATCCACGGACGAGAGGTGGGAAGCGCTTCCTGGTACGGTAGGCAGACCAGTGAAGCGCACCACCGACCGAGGCTGCTGCTTCGCCGCAACTTGGAAAATTTGTAGCAAATTGGTCTGGGAGGAAATCAGCACTGAACTGACACATCGGTAGGCCACCGCAAGGTGTTGTAAAAGCTAGATATGTATTTAATCAGCTCTACGATGCTCGGTGAAGTCGAATGCACGGCGCATCCCTAATAGATTGATCAATGCCGAGAGCTTCATCCTTTATCTTTATCTTGAGCAAGCTTATGAATGCATCTCACACAATTCCATCTTATGAAGAATAACAGGTCATTAATTTTTCAAAAGTTTGACTTTTAAGCATATTTTGATAAGCGTACTCTACAAAATTTGCAGATGTGACTAATGCAATGCAGCAAAGTCTCTTAGCCACAGAATCTCAATTTATGTCATAAAAGAAATATGAAAAATCTTTCTTCAAAATTTGAAAAAAAATCTAAGTTATTCAGTAAATTGTGGAAATTACGTAGCCTTATGAAACCGAATATTAAAGAACAGCAAGTTCTACCTGGAAAAACAGCTCACACTACTGCTTTTTAAGTTTTCGACTAGTAAAAGGATGTCGCGCAATTTAATCTTGCAACCATGGAAGAGAAAGGCCTATGTGGTGCATTGGTTGGAAGTGTCTTGCAAAGCACATGGCTGGCCAAGTCTTCAATCCCTCCGGGTCGGCAAATTGGTACCAGACTTGTCCAGGAGGTTAGCAGCACTGGTTCGATACATCGGTAGGCCACCGCGAATCATTGTAGTCATGTGTAAAGACCAGATATGCATTCAGTTACTTCCAAATGATGTTTAATAAAATCGAATGCATGGCGCATTCCTCAGGGATTGATCAACACCGAGAGTTTATCCTTTTTTCAACCATGGAAGAGATCTTGATAGAAAATAGAGCATATTTATAGTATATGTATATAATATGTATTTGAAAAGTTCTTCTACTAGGTTTAAATAATCGAGCTAATCTTCTCACGGAAAAGACGATCCGGGGCTGAAGCGATTATATGGTTTTATCGGTGCATCACATGCCCCATTTAGTGACTCAAAACTCTCTCTCACACGTTTAACTAGTATAAAACAGTCTCGTCACTGGTTTAATAAATAGTTAAGAGGTTTTTTCACACAGAGGGCCGACCTTGGATGAATTTCCATTCGTACATGAAAGAAGGTGAAGTGTCAGTTGGCAAACTTTCTTTTTATTTACCCGTAAAAAGGTCTTTAGTTAGACTTTTCGCATTCAGTAAACAGCTTATCCAACAAAGATTATTCTGCAAGGCAACGGTCCTCAAAATCCATTCTATACACCTACTAATTTACAATAAAAATATTTTTGGGGATCGTTGCTGCATAGGCGGGAGACTGTTGAAATAAAGAGGGCCCACCAGGAAAACTCTTGCCGTTAAGGAAAGTGCAGAGAAATCCCTACTGTACCGTAACACTGAAGTTCGATAAGCAAGGACCCCTTTTCGCTACAGTATGACGGTCAATCACTGAGGAGTTTCGTACACGTAATTATGGCATAGTTCTTGAACCGATAGATGTAAAAACCATAAATAAAACACGAAAATGTAGTTTAGCCATCTTACAAAAGCTTACCAAATGTTGACAGTAATGCGATTGGATGGTGGACGTGCTTTCCTTGTCACACAGAACAGCTGGATATGCTCCAAAAGCATTCAAAGATAAACAAAAAACAAGGAAGATGAACGGAATATGGAAAACAAATAAAGATGCTACTTGCAAAACTCATATCCACGCCGGGTTGTAGAGCAAAAATCATCGTAAAATGCGGGGTTATTCATGACAAGGACATTGTGATGGGTATGACTCTTCACTGAGTTACTGCTCATGCGGCGATAAAATAGGATCTTCCGAGAATATGTTATTTCTCATCAATTTTTAAAAAAAAATTCCTAAAGCAACTTTGCACTTCGTGTTCGCTAACAGTCCTTTGACTGCGCATCTGGTTAAACTCTCGATCCGTTTGGTTACGTGAAATCAGGGTTTGGATTTGAATTCGTGGAAGTGGATTGAGGTGGTGGTGGCATGGTCACTTTAATTATAATGTTTTTCACCTGCAGACATAAGCACCGAATTTCATAGAGGTGCTTCCTGATGAAAGATGAATAGTCTTGCCCTTCATTACGGCTGTAATCAAATTCGTGTCCAATTCGTTGGGAAGCATTCCGTTTTTACTTTTCCAGGATGAAATACTTTAAAAGTCCGCTACGTTTCATTTTTCCACCTTTATCCTGACAGCGTGTAAGAGACTATGAGCGACTGTATTGTGGACCCCTTCTAGTCGCTCAAAGGATTTCCATCTCAGCGACCAATCCGTCTCGTATAGGAGCTTGCGGTAGCGCTCTTTTTTTTTCAACCTTTGCCTATTCCACTTCCATCAATGAATGGATGGTGGAGTTGATGCGCGCTTACAGCTGCGCTGATGCTGTTGCTGGTACCCAACCCACTATCGATGCACTCATCAAGTCATGGGGCTCCTAGACTGGTCTTCGGGCGCTATCTAGGTGGCGATTCGTCTAGGTGGTGAGCACTCTGGCCTTGTCCGCATGCACCAGCAACAACTTAACGAATACACGGTTGCCATGCACATCCAAAGGGAAAGCTGCGGGCTACTGCACTCGTGATCTCCTTGAACAGTCGCAGAGAGAGCTGCTTTTAGGAAATTTTGAAAACAAGTGCATTACTCAGCGCCTCCGAAAGAGAGACATTGTGAGGAGCTAAAAAACTTGTACGAATCGGTGAAATTTGCTGGAAAGTGAATCGGCGAACAATAGAACACAAACAACTTTTATATCAGAATGTTTCCTTTTCGTATATGCATTTTGGTGCTAGCACTTTTTGTTAAAGATCTTACGGGCATAATCTTGCTCGAAAATTTGACTACTTTTTCCAATCCCAATTTTTAAATTCTGACCTGAACCATTGGATGAGCAATAACAACAACAACAGCAACAAAAACAAAGTTTTTTCAAAAACCTCCAGGCGTTCTGGATTAATTCCAGAAATCCAGAAATGAACTGCAGTGAAGAGTGCCTCATTATCCCTCGTGGTATTGGGCAGTATATAAGCTTGTTATTCTGATGGGAGGGACACATTACGCTTCCATGTGAATTCTGTGTAGTTGTTCACCACGTGACGTACTCAGTGGAAACCTCATAGAAAACGGTGAGAGTGGAAAGCTGTGTTTAATGTGGTTGAAATCTTGGTTTAGCGTCTCTTTGTTTGGTTATGGAGGTGTCTGGCCGAGTAGATTGCTGTCAGCTTGACCTTTCGAGGCTCTGAGGAAGGCGAAATCCGCCGAAATGTCAGCTTATTCGTGAATAAAAAATAAAAATAACACCTCGCGCTTGCTTAACAAGAATACGACGAATTACTAGATCAATGCCGAGATTAATAGAAAGTCGGTCGTGAAAGTTCCGTTAATTTAAGTTGAACTTCGGTAAAGTTTTGTTTGGAAATGAAAGCATTTATACAATCACTGCAACGGTGAAATATTTTATGATAAGCTAGGGTTTTTATGAAATTTCTGCCGCTGCTGTGCGTGTGTCACGAAAAGAAGCCATGCAACCTTCCTCGAACTCCTTAGGAAACAAGAAGGAGCAGTAAATATGTGTGACTTCTTGATTATGAAATTCGTGGCCCTCCTAAATGAGTGCCTAACCTTTAGCTGGTCTGGAAAATACTAAACACAAAAGAGAGTTGGCAATATGGCAGCGACTCTCGCCCCAGTGTTTTGCATTGAATTTGTGTCTGAGGTGAAAACACCAGTACCCAGTAAGTAAGCCGCTACTCCACTGTTGGCTATATAATATAT